TGTTTTTCTTTGGTAAGTGGATGGTCAGTGAAGCCAAACAATATATGTTCAAAACAAAGAGAAAAATGTGGCTCAACAGAGGTAGAGATCAGAACATGTATATCATCCCACAATTGAGTAGAAATGGGGCAAGACCAAAACAAGCGATGATCATCCTCAGGGTGGCCTTCACAGAAAGAGCACATTACATTTATATCTTTTTTAAAGCGTTCCAAAAATATTTTAGATGGGTAAATAAATTTACCCAAATAAAGGCTAAATATTTAACTTGTGTCTTAAATATTTAGTTTTGAGCTAAATATTTAGTTAGCAAGTTCAATATTTAGGTAGCTAGCTTAATATTTAAGTTAAATATTTAGGTATCTAGCTAAATATTTAAGTTGCAACCTAAATATTTAGGTAGCTAGCTAAATATTTGACTTGCTAGCTAAATATTTAAGTCGCTAGCTAAATATTTAAGTTTCAAGCTAAATATTTAAGTCACAAGTCAGACATGTCACAATATTTCGTTAAGGATGGAAAAGAAATTCATGATAAAAATGAGATTGTAAATTAATTTAATCAATATTACATAAATGCTGGCCCAAGTCTCACGTCAAAAATATCAAAAGTTGATAACATAAATCATAAAAACATAGGTTGTGCTAACAGTATATTTCTTGGTGAAACTGACAGAGAAGAAATTTTAAACATTGTTAAAAAGCTTACAGAGAAAAGATCAAAGGACTGCATGAATATGGACATGATGCTTGTAAAACATATAGTTGATTATGTTATTCAACCATTCGCATATATATGTAATTTATCGTTCACGACAGGAATGTTTCCTGACAATATGAAGATAGCTAAGGTAATCCCTCTCTATAAGAGCGGTGAGAAATGTGTGTTTTCAAACTATAGACCAATATCCTTATTACCACAGTTCTCAAAAATTCTGGAGGTTATTTGTAATCAGACTGGATCAGTTTATTGATAAGCAAAATATTTTAAGTGATAGTCAGTATGGGTTTAGAACAGGTAGGTCAACACCAATGGCACTGTTGGAGTTGGAGCAAATAACCACTGCTGTAGACCAAAAACAGGACTGTGTTAGTATTTATGTGGACTTAAAGAAAGCATTCGACACCACTGATCATGGT